ATGCAACATAACATTTTTGAAATAAATAGGATGGATTCCGAGCCATTTTTTTGGGTTTATGAGTTCTGGTCCCACCGTGTTTGAACATGGTTGATAGAATTTATTGGAGTTTAGAACCGGTTAATTTCGAGAGGTGTCGAAAGAATTACAATTGATAGAATTTTATCCATTTCTGTCGTTGGTCCAGGTGGCAGAGGTGGCGTAGCTTGAATTCATAGTGTATGAATCCGCATAATTGGAAATCTATATTGGATTGGTTTGGTGAGTTCATACCAATTGAAAAAATATTCTAAAATATATAGAAATGGATTCGCTTCTGCTATTCGGCGGGTTGAAGCTCGATCATGCGTGATCTACTGTTCAGTTCAGTTCAGGGTAGGTGTGATGGGTTTGATTTTTAATTATACTGAAACGTAATTTGTTTTTTGGAAGACAAATTATGTGCTGCGATCACAGTCGAGGAAGCAGACTTGGCTCTAGATTTCAATTTAATTAGTTGAGTATGGAAAAATTGATTGCAATAATTTTTAAGAACGTTTTTCTTTTTCTCCACGTTTTTTATCTTGTTATCTCAAATTGTGACTACATTTAGTGCAACTATATAATATATATAATAATAATATAATATATATAATATATATAATATATAATAAATAAATAAATTCATAGAAGAAAAGCTTATACTAAAACTCAGTGGCTTATTCTGGTGTAACAGGCACCGTTTGTGGTTTGAATGGTTATATCAAGCGTAACTATTCAAATTGACGTATCTGTTTTTGTAAACAATCACTTCAATCGACGATTTGTCTTAACTGCTAACTCACCTACGCAAACAAACACCATCATCAGGTAGGGGAATCTTTCCCTACTAGCTGAAGTTATTAGTTTCTGTGAGTGAGCTAGCCGTTGCCACAAATCGTCGATTAAAGTGATTGTTTACAAATTCAGATACGTCGATTTAATTAGTAGCGCTTGATATAATCAACTCGATCATTGTTATTGCTCCGCTACAAAAATCCATTGCGACCAGTTATTTGATCTATTGTGGTAAACTCGATCATGAGTGTTGTGTTGTGAAATGAGGGAATCAGCTACCCTAGACAGCCGTTTTTGTTTACTGAGTAAAAAATAGAGATCAATCCCAGGCCCCTTCATATTGAGAATATATAGTCACATGCTCATCGTGTGTTGTGAGAAGCTCGTTGTTGTTGTCGATACCGGGTTTGAACAAAACATTACAAAAACTCGATCATAAGTGGTGTGATGTTATATGAGGGGCTCTGAGGCCTTAGAGCGACCGTTTTTGCTTACTTAAAGGGTGATACGGTCAAAATTTGGTCAATATCAACTTGACGTATTTCTTTCAATTTTGCATTTAAAAAACCTGAACACCCCTCATTTTGAAGGTGTGTGTGTGTAGAATGTTGCTCCTATTTTGATTTTGGAATTCACTCTTCAGTTGTCAAAATGCCGTCCAAGCAAGAAGAGCAGCGTATCAAAATTTTGCTCGCGCATCGCGAAAATCCGAGCTACTCGCACGCAAAGTTGGCAAAATCGCTAAAAGTTGCCAAATCAACCGTTACAAATGTAATTAAAGTGTTTGGGGAACGTTTGTCGACAGCCAGGAAGTCTGGATCGGGGGGAAATCGAAAACCGGAAGCCGCTGAGACGACAAAAAGAGTTGCCGGTAGTTTCAAGCGAAACCCTAACCTCTCTCTCCGAGATGCCGCAAATAAGCTGGGTGTATCGTCTACAACCGTGCATCGAGCCAAAAAACGAGCCGGACTATCGACTTACAAGAAGGTAGTGACTCCAAATCGCGATGATAAACAAAATACGACGGCCAAAGCGCGATCCCGGAGGCTGTACACGACGATGCTGACGAAGTTTGACTGCGTGGTAATGGACGACGAAACCTACGTCATAGCCGACTACAAGCAGCTTCCGGGACAGGAGTTTTATATGGCAAAAGGAAGGGGAAAGGTAGCAGATGTTTTCAAGCACATGAAACTGTCAAAGTTCGCAAAGAAATATCTGGTTTGGCAAGCCATCTGTACCTGTGGCTTGAAAAGCAGCATTTTCATAGCTTCCGGGACTGTCAACCAAGAAATTTACGTGAAAGAGTGTTTGAATAAACGTCTGCTGCCTTTCCTGAAGAAACACGGTTGTTCCGTACTGTTTTGGCCGGATTTGGCATCTTGCCATTACGGTAAAAAGGCCATGGAGTGGTACGCCGCCAACAACGTGCAGGTGGTTCCCAAGGACAAGAACCCTCCCAACACGCCAGAGCTCCGCCCAATTGAGAAATACTGGGCTATTGTCAAGCGGAACCTAAAGAAGACCAAAAAACTGCTAAGGGCGAGCAGCAGTTCAAGGCAAACTGGCTTTCTGCGGCGAAGAAGGTGGACAAGGTGGCTGTACAAAATCTGATGGCAGGGGTCAAGCGTAAGGCCCGGCAATTCGGATTTGGAAAAGCGGAAGCCTAACTGAATATTTTTCCTGAATTTTATACTAATTGAACTTGAAAAAGAAATTTAATTTGATTTTTTAAATAAACGATTTCACTGATTTACACGCGTTTTCCCTTGACCAAATTTTGACCGTATCACCCTTTAATATAACATCACGGGTTAAATTTAATAAAACAGCAAAAAAAGGTTATCTTCCATGTAATTCCACTTAATTAATTTTGGTATCTATGACAGATACGTATTTCGACTACAATGTGGAGTCTTCACAGTCTTTTGACATTTCGTTGCAATAATTGGTGAGGGGCATTCGAATGGAATGTTAAGTGTTAATATGAATAAATATGAAATTATTTTCTTTTCACACTGAAATCAATTCTTAAAGGCGTTTTTAGCCAAAGCGACCTTTTTAAATTCGCAAGTTTAAATGCTGTGAAAATAACAATAACTAACTTTACACTGTTTCAATTCAATGTAGGGGAAAAGTTGGCTTCGGCAATACCTTAACCTATTATCGTCAAGGGGTAAACAACGTCCTTGAGAGCTCAATTTTGGCATGTGGATACATTGTGTTTCAGAGCAACTATTGGCCAAATTTGAGTGCTCTAGGACTTTGTTTACCCCCTGACGATAATAGGTTAAGGTATTGCCAAAGCCAACTTTTCCCCTACGTGAAATTATTTTATCGTCGATCAAACAATCCATTGTTGGTTTTTGTTTAATTCCCCTCAAAGTTTTTTGACGTTTGACAAGCCAGTCCATTTAGCGAGTGTAATTCGCTGACTGCGTTTTTAGCCCAGTTAACGAACAAGTACTGTACACTGAAGTCTTTTTTACGCGGTTTTTTTGAGTTGCAATTTACGCGGTACGTTTTTAACGATTTCTCGACAATGATACAACCTATCAACTTGATTCCAATCACATTATCCGTTTCAAACTATAGGTAATCAAATGGCACACTTAAAAAAAAATCACAATTTTTGGTGTAAATACAGAAATTTTTAAAATATGTCTATATGGACCATAGCATGCTAAAATTACGAATGGCATCAAAATCCGATTTATAAAAAATATTTAAGCATGTGAAAAATCAAAATCACGGTAGTTTTTTTACGCGGCACGTATCCCCCGCGTAAAAAGCGACTCCGGTGTACTTGCATTCGGACGCGCACCACTAGTGCCATAAGTGTGTTCCCCTTGCTTTGTTTTGAGCAAGAGGCTGTATTACGTATGAATTAAACACAGAACTGTACATTCAAGCCTTCAACTCTAATCCCGTCCAATGCACACGTACACCAAACCATGCAAGTTAATTTACTCATCAAATCAGAATGCATTTCATGAAACTTTCAAACTCCAGGCTCCGATCCCCTGTTTGAGGCTAAAATTGATTTCGCAAACAGTCAATCGCGTGCGAATATCTGCGAAGGATTCCCCTCCACTTTGAAAACCGCTGAGCTGCACTCGGCAAAGAAAATGTTTCAATTCCTCATCCCCAAGGATTTTCCCCCTCACACCCACACATGTCTGACTCATCCAGACGGTGGAGACAGACAAGGGGAACACAGCAGCAGCGGAATGAAAAAAACACATCACAGAAGAAGCAAACACAGAAAAAAGCGATCCTGACCCGACTCACTCGCCGGCCCGTTGAGACTTTTCCACACACTCTTATTTTTATGCTTCTGTTTTGTTTTCTATGACCAAGGATAACGGTGCTGCTGGCTGGCGGAATGGGGGTAGCAGCACAAAGAGCACAACGACGACGACGACGACGACGACGTCGCTCGCTGCCTAAAATGTGCTGGTGCTTGTGAGTGTATGTGTGTGTGTTTCAGTGAGGAAAATGTGAAGAATAAGGAAGATATTTTTCCGATGCCATCCTCCCTTCCTCGAGATTCGAAGGAAAACTCACTTCCTTATGTGGGATTTACCTCACCCACCCTCATCCCAGTATGTTTTTTCCAATCTAGCATGGTTTCATGTGGATAAGAAATGTTTCTTTTGCGAATGCTTTTTTTTTGTGCTCGCGTTCCGAACTGCAACCAGCCAGTTTTGCTTTTATGTATTTTGCTTTTTATGTCCTGGTTTTTATGTGGATGCAATATCCGAAAGCGGGAGCAAAGCTTTGTTGGTTGTATTTTCTTCTTCTTCTTCTTCTTTTTCCTACTCTCCAAGGAAATTCATCGAAGGCAGAGCTCTCGTTGGGGATGGGACGAAAGTGATAGATGGTTGTAGCTATGACCTTCCGTCTCTAACGCCCTCCCTTGTCAGTGCATCTGCAATTTCAATTCTCCAAACCTTGTACATATCTTGCGTTCGTTCGGTCATATTTCAACATTTTTCTTGTGACAAATCGTCGAACCGTGCAATTTGCTTCGCTGAGCGAATCTTTTTGCTCAAGCTTCCAAGAATGAGTTTTCCCGGAGGAAAATCCAAGGAGATCTGGAGACTGTTTTTGGACATGGGCCTGTCCTTGAACTATTTAGAAAACATATTTGAAAATGTATAAAGCAGTGCTAAATGACTTACCTCCACGGGACCATTCCACATGTAGTGCATCCCAACTGTAGGATCATGGTGGGAATTGGACGTCATATGCTCGGCCATCACCGCACTCATCCAGTGCACCAGTCCCTGGGTGGGATTCTGGCCCTGGACAGATCCCGGAACGGGCATCTGGTTAAAGTTGGGTATCGCCGCGGTCGCCGTTGTGCTGCTGGAGTCGGGAGTTGCTCCCTCCGCAGTGGCTGCTGCCGAAGATGGGTGATGGCCGGAGGTTGGTCCTCCGTTGGAACTGCCGTGATGACTGCTTCCTATCCGGGGTGAGCTCAGAGCCGATTTGGAGTCCTCCGGGTGGCGACAGATATTGTGGTGATGGTGGTGATGGTGCGGATGGCTGTGGTGGTTATTGTTGGCTTTGGAGTAATCGTTGTTGTTGGTGGCGTCCGAGAGCCAGGGGAACGAGGATGGTGTTTTCTGTGGGGTGGAAGGCGAGAACGCATTAGAATAAGGGATGCTACAGTGAAGTTCCACACATTTCGAAAAAGTAGTGTAAATTTCTGTTACTATGATGCACATAAATGGAGCGTCATATATCGTACAGGATTTCATAATATACTTCAACCGAGCATTTTTGTAAGCACCATTTCTTGCAAGTTGCTGGTTTACGTGAAAAGGAAGTTTACGTGCATGGATGTTTACATCACCAGTACAGTTAAGATTTTTTTCTGTGCATGAAACATTTTTGGGACATGTCGATATATGAGGCGAAAAAAGATAACCATTGGAAGGCACAAGTAAGTTCTGGTTTATGACGGACATTAAGAGCATGTTTCACCAGATACCATTACGCTTACTAAATCACAATTTGCTTCGATGTTCTAGAAGTATATTCTTATGTAGGGGAAATGAATGTAATGTCGGCCTAAATGCCCTTAATTTGGGCCCATACCTAAATTCAGCAATCAACTAAATTTTCAATAGCGACCAAAAATATCCATTAGTACCGTCCCACCCAAGTAACATTGCAAGTTTTATTGTGGTTTTAAATCATATTTTATAAGTGTAAATCATGGTCTACAGAACCCTCATAAAACCGAAATTGTTACTTGGGCAATGACGCATTCAGCTAGATAAAATTGATAAATAGCTGATTTTTAAGCAATGGGCTCAATCTTAGATCCATAGGCCAACATTAGAGTCATTTCCCCTATGACGCAATTTATGAGGAATAAAGTTTCAATGTTTTCAATTTGCACAGCATACGATCGATCAGTACTGTCATGGTAAATTTAGAGCTTGTAATTCACTAATTAGCGACGCCGGTGGTGTAGTGGTAGGCGTGATTACCTATCACCCCAGCAGGCCTGGGTTCTATCCCAGTCGGCGAGGCCGGGATGTTGATCGAGCCTTTGTAAAGCCGTTGCAACGCGTTGGTCCCCGGTTCATGAGTTAATGGGTCGATAGGTAGGGCCAGGTGTGGGAGCTGATGAAGATCCCAACCCGTGGAACGAAACGTTGACGATGATTTAAATGTAAGCAACTTTTTTTTCTTGAATACAGGTCGGACTCGATTATAAGGAGGTTTCGGAAATAACCTCACCCTACTCTAGCTACGCAACTGTCGTTTGTACAGAAACTCTCCCCAACTCTCACCACGTAGAATCGGACCATCTCTCGTCTCGTATGGACACTACCGCGGAACCAATAACAGATAGGAGATTATTAGGTAGCGATGAATGACGTCTCTGCGGTGATCGTCTTGCAATGAGGGATCGATAATCATATATAGGAATAAACATTCTGATCTGACTCTTTAGGAGGATGGTTGGAGTAAAGACACCATGGATTTTAATGTGATAGTATGTGATGTAATAGACTTATTGTAAACAAGTGAATTGTTTGTTAGAATTTTATGTGGAAAATAAATGTGCTATGTTGTGTGTGGATGACGAATGTGCTGTGTTTGGAAGGAACTCCAAACGAGCACCTACACCTGCTCTCATAAAGGCGCCCAAGAATGTCCCATCTCAGAAAGGGCAGTGCAACTTAATTACCCCGCTAAACGGTGTTGGAAAAGGTCCAGTAACCCAACAGAAGGTTTAAAAAAACAACTCACTTTCTCCAACAATGCCTAAAGCCAGCCATAATTTTCAGTGGATTCATGAACACTCTATCCACTAACCTATGCTTTGAAGCCACCCACAGCTTTGAGTGGATCCATGAACACTCCATGTGCCAGCCATATGATGCTTTGAAGCCACCCACATTGTGGGTAAACTTTAAAAAACCCCATGTTCCCCACAGCTGTGCACAATTTGATCGCATTATGTTAAGATCTGCGAGTTAGGGAGGTACATTTGAATGGGGAGAGTGGTCCAAGTATCCTAAATTTCCATCGAGTTAGGGAGAAATCGTAAAGGAGAGCTAACTGACTATCTAGAGGATTTGGCTTACCTTGCCAATCAGGCAAAGGCTTTCATGTCCTCTGCTGTCCGAAGAAGTCGTCAGTAGATTCACTCTACTCGATTCATGGCCACACTTCGCCAGCCTCGTAGTCTGCGAAGATAGCCTTCTATTTGGTCCTACCCGCTGCTCGCCTCTTCTTCTTGTTCATGTTGGGTCGCTTTCGAGAACCATTTTCACTGGGTCGTCGTTCGGCATTCTTACGACATGCCGAGCCCACCGTAGATGCCCAATTTTAGCAGTTTGGACGATGGATGGTTCTCCCAGCAGCTGGTGGTTCATTCGCCTCCTCCACGTTCCGTCATCTATCTGCACCTCCACTGGTACGCAACACCTTCCGATCGAAAACACCATGGGCGCGTTTGTCCTACACGAGTATTGTAAGGGCCGTAGATGACCATCGGTATAATCAGCGTTTATTCGATCACTCCATCCTCCGGAGTCCAAAGTAGGCATGATTTCCTGCCATAATGGGTCTTTGGATTTCTCTACTGGTATTATTTTCGGCGGTCACCAGTGAGCCAAAATACACGAACCCATCGACCACCTCGATTTCGTCGTTTTTTTCCTTGATATGTTTTTCGTCGATCTTGTTCCTTATTGAGCACCAATGCTACCGACGCCAGGGAGGCAGCTCCCACGGCTTTACTTCCGTTCCGAAGGAAGGCGTGATCAGAAATGTTTGTTGCCTCAGAGCATCCCGGCGGCGTCGACTGGGATTGAACCCAGGCCTGCTGGGGTGAGAGGCAATCACGCTTACCACTACACCACCGGCGTCGGTTGGTTTATTGCTATGCTACTCAGTGTATTTCGTTAAATTTTCTGACTACGAACATGATGCTTGTGACAACTCTTCCAAGGAGACTAATGCTGCTGCTAGTTGATGTTGATGAAAGGTTTTGACTTGATTGATCCTTGTTTATGAAATTCGAATGGTTTCTGGAACACTGCGATCTTAACATTTAATTTGAGGAAACTTCGTAGAATTTTAGAGAATTACGTTGATATTTGCGAATTTTTAATAAGATATCAATAAAATCCTCTGAATAATTGCCAAGATTTCAGGTTGATCAAGTATTACTCTATAGATCTACAGCTATTCTTCCAAGAAGGCAAATTATCAGCAAATTATTATAAGATGGCCAGCTAATCGAAGATTTCAGTATAGTCCACTGGATATTTTTCATGGACATCCGGAAAAGTTACAGCTCATTCAACACTTTTAAAACGGATAAAATCGTTTTGTTATATACTATGCCTGTCCCGTACTGTTCATCATGATTCAGGAAATCAATTGGCCAAAATTGAAAGCTGATCGACTTGTTTTACCCCCTGACGTAATGGATAACTATGCATGTCTGATGCATGCTGTAGAGACAGGATTGAAATAATAATTTAAAAAATAAATAAAATAATAATAATAATAATAATAATAAGAATAACAATATATACATATGTATCAAAAAAAAAAAAAAAGGCAAGCGTCAATAAATCTCCCTTCTTACTAAACCGTCATCATGATACTCATTGGTCAGAAGAAAAGGGGAAATGAAACGATCTTGGGTATAAATAAGAGAGCACAAACTTCGCTCTCGGACTTTTTCGGCAGATGCGGTACAAACCACAACAGCAGCAGCAGTAACCAGCAGCAGTAACCAGCAGCAGTAACCAGCAGCAGTATTAACCAGCAGCAGTAGTAACCAGCGGCAGTGTAACAACAACAACAGCACCAGCACCTATCCGACAATAAGTCGAGTAAGCGAGTGGCATCGCTCTCACTTGTCGGCAACGATCCAGTAGAAGTTTTCCGTAGCGGCATCCGACAATAAGTCGAGTAAGCGAGTGGCATCGCTCTCGCTTGTCGGCAACGATCGAGTAGAAGCTGACCAGGGTAGAAGTTGGCTGTTTTTCGTAGCGGCATCCGACAATAAGTCGAGTAAGCGAGTGGCATCGCTCTCACTTGTCGGCAACGATCCAGTAGAAGTTTTCCGTAGCGGCATCCGACAATAAGTCGAGTAAGCGAGTGACATCGCTCTCGCCTGTTAGTAAAGATTTTCGAGGAACCTGCGGCCGGATCATCCAAACCAAAGAATATGGCAGATCTGCCTGGGTTCGATTGTCCAGCCGGTCGCGACACATGCTAAATGTCTACCACTCGGTACTAATTGTAGTACGGAAACTAAGTCCGATAGCAGTGGGCGCTCCTCACTGTTTGATTTGATCAAGCTTAATGACCTCAATCCCAGCATTGTTTTGTATGTATGAGCAATAATAAAAATTTAAAATTTAAAACGATCTCACCAAATTTCACTGTTTCTTCACCCGTCTGTCCAATTTTCGTGCCTATTTGTGGACTCGTTGTCCTTCTTTGCATCACTGCTAGTCGCTACTAGTCTCCCGAAAGTCTCCCATGTTATTTCTTATGTGTTCTACGATATTTCACCGTCTTTGTATGATGATCTTGAGTTCCTAGTTGCGCCTTATAAAACCGTAACACCAATTCGGAAAATGGACAGTGTCTCCGGGTATTTTCTTAACGAGCATCACTCCATTGTCGTATCGCATGTGCTCCATTTTGCAGCTCTTCTTTCACTTTTGCTCTGTTGACTTCATGGTACCGGAAAAAGTATAGATATATACATTATTAGCAATGATGTGATATAACCCCAACGAGATGGCCGTTCAGAATGGTTCAACGGATGTGAAATGAGGGTACATTTAAATTTAACACGATTTAAAGTATTTCAATGCGGGGCGACCCCGGCGTAGTGGTTAACATCCATACCTCTCACGCCAAAGTCACGAGTTTAAATCTCACTCTCGGACATGTCAAGAAGGACCCAAGAGTGTTAAAGTGACAAAGTATTTCAATGCAACATTACATTGGTTCACTAACAATTTTTAAATATGTTATCCTAACTAATTTCTGGAAGAATTTACTTGTGTTTTATACAATAAGTATCGATGTTCCGTCTTATCGTATCTTCAAGTGATCTTCGCAAGCGCCACAT